TTTATAACCACCCCTAGGTCCGGCCGGGGTTGTGGGGGACCGACGAGCCTACTGTTGGTCCAGGTAGTACAAAGGAAAATGTAGAAGTGCACAGGAAAAGGGAAATAAGTGCAAAGGGAAGAGCAAGAGGTATAAGGGGTAGACAAAGTAGGAAATGGGTTATGTGTAGGCGTTTTGGGCCTTGTCGCTATCGTCCGGCGATAGTATAGTAGTTCGTGGCTTCGACGAACGAAGCAAAAAGGAGGGGCTTTTGTAACAGCCGTTTCCAGTACCCAGGCCTGTCAAAGGACGGGGCGGGGTCCGCGATAGGCCATTTGTTTTCTGCTGCCCTGGCCAGGTTGCAGAAAACAGGGTGTGAAGGGGATTTGTTTCTCCTGCAGAGGCACGGGTTATCGTCCTCGTGTTTGAACTTCCGGTGGTACCAGTCGAAATCCCCGTGGCCTGTACGTGCGGCTATTAGCCGTTGCAATACCCTCCGGTGTAGTTGCAAAGCGTCGGGTGTATGCTGTGGGATCGACGGAAGGCCTATAACCTTGTATCGTTCCAGAAGGTTATTTTTGTAACACCCCACAGGGTGAACGCCCCCCAGACAGGGTTCAGGGGCTGGCGAGCCTCCAGAGAAGCTCAAAGGCTACGCCAATACGGTTCAGCATCCCAAGAGAAAGTTAGGAACCTTGTGTTAGGCTTCGGGCCTCCCAAGGGAAGGCTTGCGGCGTGGCAAGCCACCATGTCCAAGCCCCAAAGAAGGATCACAGCGTGGTGGCCGGAGGCCGCTACAGCATCATGTATAAGTAGGGCTTGCAAGACCCTCTGTCAAGGGGATCTGGAGGGCACGCAACCGTTCTTGTGTTTAATGGTTCATCCACTGAATGCACTATCACCTTGCACACTCACCTTGCACACCTTCCAGGCCGCTGAGTGACCTGAACCTCTGAGATCTCCCCTGGAGAACCCCTTCTAGTGCACAGCACGTTACAATTTTCGAACCAGGCGTTCCGGGCGTCCCGGGCCATTTTCCTGGCTAAAGCTTTAACGCCGGCCACTGTTGGCCTGGCGTGTTGGGGTATCGGGAGGGCCGTGCCTAGTTTTGCTTCGGCATCGGCTTCCTCGTGTCACGGTCGCCGTGCATTCTGCTCTCCTCACGAACAGTCTATTACAGATGGGGGGAAAGGAATCTATCTACGAGGTGACAAGCGGGGTTCTCCGAGCTAAATCCCAAAGGTTGTGGGTACGTGCACCACACACGCTTGGACCGTCACACCTCGTTCCCGGGGATTCCCGTATGTCCTAGAGACCACCGAACGTGTACCCGGTATTTGTCCATAAAACAATGGGCCTCCTTAAAGGCCCCTTGCGAACTATCGGGGGCCGTGCTTAAGAAGCCGTTGGCCGCCGACGTGTTGTCAAGGCATAAGTGGTAGGTGCAGTTGCGGAAGTTCCAAATAGCTTTGCGGAGGCCCATCCGGGCCCCTTCCGCCTCGCCGTCGAATACTTCGGCAGGGTGCGCCAGCCTGCCGTGCCCGGAAAGTTTTTGTTGGCCGGCTTGGTGTATTACCCAGCCGTATCCAACTGCTCCATCGTCTGCTTTGGACCCGTCGCTATATATTATAACGTCCGTGGAAGGGAGGGTGTTTAGCCACGCCATAAAGGCTATAGCAGCTGTACGCTTCTCTTGTGTGGTTACCGTGGCCCCCGTATATCTATAAGGGAGGTAGGCCGGGCGAGCGCAGGCCGGGAGCAGTTCGGCTGTCCTTTGTAAACAGGTCGTATGCCTGCCGGGTAGGCCCGCCCTAGGCCCTCAGGCGTTAACAGTCGGCTTGGCCGCTGCGGCTAAGGGGTGATTTTCCGGAACCGTATTAATGCGAGCCGCAAACCGGAAGCGGACTTGTTCCAAAAGCGCTTCGGCGTTTGGGATGCCGGATGTCACGGCCATGGTCGAGGACTAGAACACAGTCAATTGGCGCTACGAACGAAGATTCTAATCTGAGGGAGAAGGGAAGGAAAAGAAGGGATTCCGGTGTTCGGCGCGCGTTCAGCGCGTCTTGATGATAGTCCACCGTGTGGGTCAAGGCCTGTGGGCCTTGACCCAGATCGTCACACCGGATTCGTAGTGTAAAGCTTTTACCAGTATGGTTTCTATGCCGGAACAACTGCCTGGAGAGACGTGGCTAAAGCTTTATTAACCCACTCGATTAAATGGCCTTGGCGGATGCGTTGCTGATATGCAGGCTTGTATGGGTGTGGCTTGGTTTTACCCTTGTACCACACTTCGGCCCCGTATAGTGCCGTTGGGATAATAACCGTTGTGACGGCTTTATGTACCGAGTGCGCTGGTAGCCCTCCCACCGAATGGGTAAGCCTCCGGAGGTGGTTGGCAACGTTTAGGGCTTTTGCAGCCCTGTTGTCCACGTGCGGCCCGAAGTTAAGCCTTTGGTCGAAAAAGACGCCTAACCATCGTAAGGTTGGCGGGCGGCGCGATGCGAGGAGAAAAGGTGGTGCGGTGCCTTGTCGCACGGGCTATTCCGCGGCGCGTGCTCACGTGGATGCCTGCGGCGTGCGGTGAATTGCCCTGGGCCGTCATACTACCCCCTCTCAAGCCCGAGTATCGCGTACGCGGTGCTCGAGGCTTTATTTGTGCCGCGTTGGCCTCTTTTTTTGTTACTCCCACATGTTCTGCCACGTTGTCATTGTCCCGATCCTCCGGGTGCCTGTCTTCTGCTGCTGCTCTGATCCAATCTCGCAGGTTGACTGGCGGTCCTGAGGCCTCTGGGTATTCAAGTGGAACGCCTCCAACGCGATGGCAGCGTTCTTGAAGTTCTCCGCCAAATACCACTGGTCATCGGGGTCGCATCCTTTCCAGCTGACCTGATATTGCAGCTTCTTTGCTTTACCAGTAACCCGGGATGCCAATACCATGTCGACTTCCCACTCTGGCTCGCCGTTGATGTCCTCTGGGGGCTCCGGCTCTTGATGCTGTTGCGGCAGCGGGTCGTTCGGAGACTTGCGCAGCCGGTCTGAATAACAACAACGGTCGGGAACGCCTTGTCATCCCACAGCCTTTTATGAGCGAGTACCTTCGTGACGTGCACGACGACAAGCACCGCTTCGCATGTCGCAGGCTGAATACTCACTATAGCGGGGCAGAATCATGGTGCGCTTCGACGTCTTGCAGGTGACGGTCATCAGCGCGTTATAGGCATCGAAACCGTTGTAGTGTTAGGGGGTGCCTGCTGAGGGTACAGTTGGGAGCGCCGTCACGAAGTCAATCGTGATTACGCTCATGCTGATAAGGAGTTGATTGTTCCGCCGGTTCATGCTACAATTGTGACATTAGTCGACGTACTGCTTCAAGCATCCAAGGCCGCCATCGACGGTTAACCCGAGAGGAAGAATCAGAGCGTTGAGTTGGCAATTCGCCACCACGCACAGCGGGGCAACAACGAGCCTTGGGTTAACGTCATCGAACATTCTAGCATCGATAGCACAGATATAAATTCAGAGTACCCCCTTGGACCCTTTTAAAGCAAAGAGATAGAGATAAATAGTTATATATTTATGGAAATCAAGACTAGAGAGACGAGCTAGATGAGAAGGTTGCTATCGGCGAGACCGATGAGGACGACGCGTCCCGACTGGGTCCCGATAGCCAGCATCGATCGCATCACGGCCGACTCTCCCGGTCGGTACGCCGGCGGCAGCCACAGCATCCTGTGCAAGCCCCAGGTAACCAATACGCCATCGCTTAGCCCAATGCCTTTCTGATCGATGCGCAACGGGTGATCGGATACGGCGACTGCCGGCTGCGCTAGCGGCACTTTTGCTACGGTGCTGCAGGCCATGAGGAGCTGGGAGGCGCTCGTCGAACAAGACAGGGACCCGAACGGACGGCCCGAGGCAAAGGAACAGATGCGCATGCTCAAGGAGCTGCAGGTAGCAATCAAAGAATACCGTGAGACACAGTTGTCCCCTTTTTTTGCAGGATTGCAGGCCCGGTCTCTTGACATCCACGGCGGTGGCGATTGACAAGTCGATGAGTGAACTTCTGCGAGCAGATGAAGCGCTCGACCTACAGCACCGCATCTCAAACTTAGCCCGGCCAAATAAAAGGGTCGTAGGTGCGTACAGGAGCTGGCTCACCAAGCCCACCCGACGCCTGGGAGGGCTGCCGGGTCTCTTCCTCGACGACGAGTCCGATCTCGTGGCCATCAAGACCCCAAAGGACCACGACTACTTGTCCGAGTTGCTGCGACGCCATTGGCCAGCAGCGGTAAATTCTGACCCCGTTCCCCTGAATGCGTCCTTAATTCTTCAGATGTAAAGCTGTCAGCGAGACTAAAAGGAGAACCCCTTGGGATTTAGAGAGTCGAGTCCTATGACGGCGGGTTTAGGGTCGGTTGGTTCTAGGAGAGAACCATATCGACGGTGGCGAATCTCACCAGCATCTTCATCGCCGTGGCGCTGCTGGTCGGCTCAATCACCGGCTTCCTTTACGTTGACGCGCCCCTGATAAAGGCGCTCATGATTGCCGGCTTCACGGGTCTATTCGCCATCAGCCTCGGGCTCATCATAAACGCTAGGCGGCCTGAGGTCTTTGCAGCGACTGCAGCGTAAGAAAGACTGCCACGACCTTGACGCTGAGGCTACTTTAGGTGACGTTTCTGCTGATTCATTATTTGATCACCTAGATATGCCGCCGTGCTGGTGGTGTTTGTCAGCAACCAGGACCGCAGCGACAAGCGCGGGACGTAAGCAGGAGTCAAGTATTTGGCCTCGGTATATATTCAGGCGAAAGCCGCCATAGTCGCGCAAGATACGGAGAGATGATGGACGACAAAATATTTTGTTGATACATCTTCCATAGCGGGCCCGTTTGCTTCTATTTTACAACTTGGCCTTGGCCCCGGGCTGCGAGTTGATCTCGGCATACATGCGGCCGATCTCGCTCCTAAACGCCCTAGCAGTCTGCGGACGCTTCAGCTTGAGACTATGCGGAAAGGCAGTTGTCAGCATTGGATGGATGAATCATATCAAACTTTGTCATTAGAAAAGGAGGATTATGGCGGGGGAACTTACGTGGGCGTCAGCAGCTCGTTCTGGATAGAAAAGGGCTCCACGGCCAGGCACCTGCTCCTCTACACTATGGCTTCGTCCCTCTTGCACCGTATGCCCATGTACCGCGACTTCCTTGTACTTCCCTCCGCGACTTTCGGTACTCTATTACCCCATCTGCACACCCTCGAGCGGGTCTGCTAGGTCGTTGCTAAAGCGTAGTGATGTGGTCGACGGCCGCTCGCTTGTCCTCCGTGGAGCCCGACCGCCCCGGCGAGGAGGGGCCCCCCGTAGGGTCGCGGCTGCCAATACTGCTCAACGGCCACACCGAGGGTGGCGGCGCGAACGAAGCGCAGCATCAACATGGACGGACACAACGTCAAGGACGTGACCATTGACTTGGTGAGGCGGGAAATAGGGGTTGTACCGCAGGACACAATTCTCTTCAACAAAATCGCGAACGAGAACGCGACCAACGAGGAGGTCTACGAGGCCTGCCGCGCGGCGCACAACCGCATCATAAGCTTCAGCAAACGGCACAACACCTAGGTTGGAGCGCGTGGCCTCCGCCTGAGCAGTGGGGAGAAGCAACGGGTCGCCATCGCGCGCCTGATCCTCAAACCCCATCATCATGCTGAACGAGGCGACCTCGGCGCGAGACGGCGAGACGGAGCAGCAAATCCAGTCCAGGCTGATCAAGGGCAATGACCTGGGGCAGGATCGCACGCTGCTCATTTAATCTTTTACGAACATCGCCGGCGCAGCTGTTCGAGAATGTCGCCGCGGTCGACTAAATCGGGGTCGCGGGAGAAGGGGATGGTCGCAAACGGCTGCGGCGGCGTCCCCGCGGACAAGCAAGCCGTAAACTCTACGTCAACCTGCGCCCTTATTTGGCGTTGGGGGGTTTCCTGGAGGATCTCATCTTCCACCTCCCGTGACATCTTTCGTGCTTTTGCATCGCTAGCACACGAATCTACGCTCATACCGCCATCTAGTCCGCCGCGATTACCGGCATGCCTCGGTTAGTGTCAGCCCATTGACCTTGTGGGGACAACCACCGGGGCCGCACCAGCACATTCCATTAGCGTCGGTGTCGGGAGTTTGGCTGGTAACATCCCTGCTCCTTATCTGGAAAGCTCCGCAGTCTTCCCGACCAAACTGTCCTCCCCGTCGACCCGGCTTCTAAGGCTCGCTTGCCCGCTCACTCATCGTGCATCCCGACCCGTTGCGTCCGGTCGCGCGATGTCGTCCCGCAGCGACCGCCGTCGCTTTTGTCGCAGAGGGATTGGACCACATCGCCCATTTGTCTGGGTAGCTCTGGCCGTGGTAAGCAATCTCATCATTTCGTAATCCGACTCCCTCCCCCTTCGCCTCGCTCTCGACAACATCCCCGCCCGGTCCAGGACCAGCGTCACCGTGTTGGCACCAGATGCTCGCATCACGAATTGCTCTCTTCAAACCCATGGAAACACCGCGTCCCAATTTCCGCTCACAGCCTATCATTCTACTGCATTCAGGGTTCACCATACAGCCAGAACCACCATGGGCCTGTCACGTCAAGAATCCCACTCCGCGAA